AATGTCAGTTAAAGTTTTTCACGGGAAAGAGAACGAACCGTTGAAGTTTTCGGCATGGTCGAGTGCGGTAGGTACAATTTGCGAAAGCTTTAAAAAAAGCAATATACGAGAATCATTACTGACAATTTATCATACTATTATATATTGTAATACGACATTTTCAAGATGGATGAGATTGAGTGCAATCCTTGCGTTTTTTTTCTAGGTCTTTTTATTATAAATTGAATCAGAAAATATACGAGTGATTTTTGTCATTAGCAATTCTCCTAGCATGTCTCTTCAAAATCTTAGAAAAATATTACAGAAGAAAAGACCTTCGTGTGTATGTGCAAAATTTATTTTATTGTTCGAGTAAAAATCTTTGCTTGCTTCCTTGGTGTTAGATACGCTGAAATATTTCGATTAAAAGTACAAATAAAAAAAAATGATCGATTGAATTTTATATGTTAAAAGAAGTGTTTGATAGATCGTTTGACTGTCGATTGCAAGCGATTTGTCAAAATTGATTCATTCGGAACATTGTTGCAATCAGGTGCTGTTCCAATGTAAACTGGTTCTACAGCTAATTCAATCAATTAAGTCTATAGTGGGGCACATTACACGTGTATCGTGATAGATGTCCATTAACGTACATTCAGTGCACCTGGAGATGTTCTGCTATCGGTTGAATAGAGGGATGTTCTGCTATCGGTTGAATAGAAAGAAATTTAGACTTTTAAAGGGTAAAACATTTTCTATAAACAATTTATCACAAAATTTGAATAAAATATTTTATCTATATAATTTTGAAGTTATATTTATATATTTATTTAACCATAATGTTGTTTGATAATAGATATAGGTATAGAATAGCTAAATTGTTAGCTGAAAAAGTCATTACTCAAAACTTCTTGAAAAATATATATAAATGTACAAAATATAATTTCAATGATTTGCCGTTAATCGCTCGCCGAATGCTAATCGAATATCCGTTGTAATATGTAACGTTCGAAAATCCATTTACGCAACAATGTTTTATCGATATTCGATTTAACGCAAGTATAATTCCGCGTTCTAAAGAAAGAGAGAGAGAGAGAGAGAGAGAGAGGCGTCGTATTAGTTACTATGGAAATAACTAGCTAGGATGACAGCCATTAAAACCATAAACCAGCTGCTTCCCTTCGCATAGTTCCCCTATGGTTGGAAGACCCCTTTGTGCATCACGCATTATAATTAACTATATAGCGACTACGCCAAGTCACCCCCATACATCGTATCGTCGTACAGATAAGTAAACTACATGGGGTACTGTTGAAAACGTTGCTACGTTTTGTTATCGTATAAAGAATGACATATTTTAAAATCATGTTGTTTTGTTGTATACTAAAGAATAGTAAATATTTGAAGATTTGTACTTTTGTATAAATATTTATTATATTTATATTTTGTTTGTATCTCTTTATTATAAATTATTTATTTCATATAACGATATTTTCTTGCAAATTAACTAAATTTTCAATAATTTTTTATTATTTATATCATTCAAATATTTTTGTTATATTTATAATTTTATTGTACAATAATTACATTTGAGACGGATATTGCTTAGATTATGTGCGTATGTAGGAATAGTTATTTTCATGTCACCCTATAGTTCACCCCCATACGCATATCGGGACCACCCCGATAGCACGCGTCCAGGTGGATGTTACAGAATGTTCGTTAGAAAATGCGATCGTGCTGCTCAGCTGTCTAATTTTCAATTTTGACGATTTTGACTCGTTCTCCACGTGCCGATTCCCTTAGAATGTGTCGATGGAACATCGGATAATATCGTTTCGCCTGCTGCTTTTTTATGTAACTTATTATTAATTTAAAAGATATGAGGCAGTAGCATGAGACAAACATTACAGCAGCAATATCTGATGCAAAATAACTTTTTTTTAATCGATTAGATTTCTACTTATCGAATTAGTTTTATAGTACTAACTGAATTAATGAGGAGAAGATGTATTTGCAAAATGCCATAATCATGCAAAAAATTGTAATCTTTACATTTCAATACATCGAGTAAATAGTAAAATAGAAAAAGTGCAAAATAGATTACATAATAGGATTACATAATTTTTAATTAGCGAGAGATATATTTATCACAATTATCAATTTTATTTTTTAAAATTATAGCACGTATGTCTTGGTACAATATAACATTTTTCTAATATATGATATTTTTTTAACATATACACGTATATCGTAAGGATAAGAAAAAAAAATGAGAACAATAGATAGGAATGAAAGCACGATAGTTTATTATTCGCTTAAATGACTAGGTGACTAGAAGAGTGTCCTAATTCTAAAATGAAATATACATAGGACTTTCTCTTGTCTCTCGCGACAAAAATGTGACGAGAGTGCGAAGAGATGCAAGTTGATGTTTATAATCAATTAGTCTTTGGAGGCGCTGCATTGTTGCTTCCTCGAGGAAGCAACCGTTTGAAGCTTTCGATGGACTTTCGTCGTCGCAAAAAATCTTTAATGTATGGAGTTTGTTAAAAACTTTCTCGATAAACCATGAGTCTGAATTATCGCGAGAGACACTTTCGATCGGCTCGCTAAAGACAATGCTCCATTAATCGTAAAAATTATAATTGAAAATATAGCGATTCTTATATGACAATGAGTCCATCCACAAAAACCTCCAATAAATCATTTGAATTATTTACAAAAAATGATTAATACGTCCGTCACAATTAACCCTACAGAAAATTAATAATTGATCAAAGATAATAATGTTTGAAGGACGCGAAAGAAAATAAATATACAAAATTCAGTAGCATAAGTAATGTCTGTTCTGCTAAAACGATTATTAAAATGCCATGCACACATGCAGTTTACGCTTATATTTAATTGCTCTGATCATTCCATGTAATATGATATATATTTAAAATTTTTTTTCTCTCTCTCTATAATCTTAAAAAAATAAAATTCTCTAATAATATTTTATATATCTTTTAATTCTCTAATAATATTTTATGAAATTCTCTAATAATATTTTATATATCTTTTAATAATCTTTTAATAATAATTTAATAATAATTTAATAATAATTTTTTAACATTTTTTTAAGAGAAAGAAGGCTAATTATTTCGAGCGATTTTTTTCGTTGTTCAAGGACAGTTAACATGGCGATTTTTTCGCTTTCGCAGCAAAATAAGAGAAAACCGCATGTGTGCACGGGGGGTCTAAAGATGTATGATGATCGTTTCCGAGATTCGACATTTTCTACGTGGTCTTCGTTATCGTCGCTGTGGTAGTCGTCTTTGTTGTTTTCGACGACTCCTTTTGTTGCTTCGTCACGTCCATCGAAGTCGTCAGAGGCTTTTTATTCACGTCACATGTTTTTCGAGCTCGCCAGTAATCTGTAACAAAAACATTAAACGGTACTGAGTATAAATAAATAAATATAAACGGTGTGTTATTGAAACGTCCCGTCACGAAAGTCGTAATAATAATAGTATACAATATAAAAACAAAATTCCGTGAGGCGTAATAAAAGCATTCATTCTATTTCGTTCGTACGGCGTGAATAGACGTCTCTCTTTGAGAGAATGCGTGGGGCTTCCCGTAACGAATATATTTTTAAGATTCCGTGGCGTATATGAAGTTTAGTGAATCGATCGGGTCATCTCATTGCGACGTCGCGTAACCTGTATAAGAGCATCTCGTGCGAGGGAGAAGCACGAAATTTCCACAACAAAGGCTACACACGCAGGAATCGTCTTAGGGGCACCCTATTTTCGATCAGGTAACCACCTGAACACCCTACCCTCATTTCTTTTTATCCAATTTTTCTTTCTTTTTCTAACTGACTACTGACAGGTGCGATTTAATGTTAACGGTACCAATTCCGAGAGTAAAATCTCCTTGTTTTTTGACGTCTCGATAAAAACGCGAAGAATATAAGACGTACATATTTTATTACAAAAATCATGAAATAATAAAAGATAATTGAAAAGTGTACCATGCATTTATATCACAGATGAGATTATAATACGAGACGTCATACATTTTTTATAGCCATAATTTTTTTGATTAATTTAGAGAAATTATTTTTTTTTTTAAGAACTGATTTATTAATTGGTCATTCAGTTTGAAGTATTAAGAAATATTAACGTCCGCGAAACGGCATAATAAATCGGATCGCGATTCGATCCGGCAAATCGATGAGAGAAAGGTCGAAGAAAAAAATCCACGCAATAACCATATGTTGAGGACATGATCCTTTCTCTCCGCGGTTCTCTCTTTTTGGCAATGGTTCGCCATATGGCGCGCGAAACCGAGCTCTTCCTCGATGAACGTTCATTTTCTCTCTCTTCTCGGTCTCCTTTTCTTTACGCGTCGCGTTCACGATTTCGCTTGTCAACATCTGTTTCCACGCCTCAATGTGCCGCGAAGTAGATCCTAGGTGCGTCATGGAAGGCTCGACGTTTACCTGTCCATATGTCTCGAAGAGACGAGATTCGAAAATTCTCTTTTGTTCGCGGATCCGAACAGTCCTCCTTCTGACGCATTTTTCACCCGTAGGAAGGATCTTTTTCGAGCTGCTCTCCAACTGCGTCTCCGATTTTGCGGGAGAACCATGTAAACGGAGAGTCTGCTTTAAGCTTTAAGTCGCGATCGAAAGGATCCTTTGTTGATTTCTCGTCGCGAGGAGAGAATGTCAAAGGTTTTCTATTCCACGACGCGGACAGCAATACCGCGATCCGCACCCCTGCGTTTATTTTTCTTCTCGTTAATCGCAGAAGAAAATAGAACGCTTTCTATCGTTTTCTGTTATTCTTGCTATTCAGATAAAATGGGTATAAAAGACGAAAATCCAAAAATCTTTGTTTATTTAGTTTTATATTTATTCTATGGATGTAAAATATTTTATTTTCGATTAAATACAAGAGATGAAACGCATGATGATACGAAAAATAATTTTTTAATAGGTGAATTATTAAGACAAAAACAGAAATTTCGTACCTTATATTTCGTTCCTTTATATCTATTAATTTAATAAATTAATAATTTTCGTCAGTCTGTGAAAATGTCAAATAAAAGTAAAAGGAGCAATTAATGCAATTGTGCAATTAATGTATCCAGTTCTTGTCATACTTGCACCAAAGGCAACTTGTTCCAGCAGGTGGTGCGCGACCTTCGAAAGGCCTCGCGCGACACGGTATCGCGTGTTCGCGGGGTCTGATTTAATCGTGGGAAAAGACGTTCCAGTCGTCATAGGCCTGTAGCAAGGGCTAACAGGTGTCGGTGGAAAAAGAGGTGCTGGTTGCACCGTCCCGCTCCGTTGAATTTTCGAGGGTCGTCGCGTTCCAGCCCAAGGAGTCACCGTGTATGGGATTATCAGTGCAAATAGGCATAGGGTCTCCATCGAAGTTGAGAAAATTAATCTTTTCTCCTCGCGCGCGCTACGATTATCTCGCACACGCGTTTCAACGTATCGACCATTTTTTTAGCCTGCGAACCACTTCGAATGCCTATACATGATTTCAAAATGAATATTAGCGATTATTAATAATTATGTGCTTTTGTGGTGGTGTGAATTTTATTTTTATAAGAGAATAAAAATTTCACATGGAAATTATTATCTCGGATAAAGAATATAAAATACATACGATGCTTTTATCGGTTCGCATGCAAAAACATGCAAGGTTTTTTGCACTTGGTCGAGAAAAACATAATATCCATTGTGCGTTAAAATTCATGCGAATTGAGGAGCAAGCCTAGATGCATCATGCCGGAGGAATCCAAGGAATGCGATCACGGTTTTCTTTTACTCCTTGGAAATCGGGGCCCTTCGATGACTCACGAACCCTTACAGGTACTTTACGTCAGTCGCCTTAAACGCATGACTCAGTCGTGATTCACTCTCGATGTTTCGTCCCTAACTGCATTATTACATCGCGTAGCGATCATAGAATACCGATCAGTGACTCAAGTTTCTCACGCGATTACGTACCACACGTGTTTACTTATCTTTTCTGATAACACGAACGTTTTTTTTTGTAGATATTCGAAAGATGGATATAGAAGAGATGTTTCCCTGAATTTTCCGGGAATTGTGAAACAAATCAAGATGTCTTCGAGAAAAAATATATATTCATGGAAGATAGCAAAAATATATACATTATTTATTTACATTTTCTAAATAATAAAAAAAAATACTTTTAAGAATTTTTTTTCTTTCTGTTTCTGTAATTTACGATTAGAGCATGTTATGACTATATTATGTAACTGAGCCTATGTAAATAACGGATTATATTTACGACACGAATTCAAATTAATCAAAGAACTTGAGATATAAAAACATTTATAAGAAACTATTTATCTCGTAAAAAGTTTCTAGAAAAAAAAAAGATAAGTTTCTAAAAACCATAATACAAATTTTTAATTTAAAAAATGTCTAGTTTGGGCTACCTAGATTATCCCTGGGTCTCGTTTATGACGCGTGCTCTTAGCGTAAGAAACGAATAGCCTAACAAGATGAAAGGTTCTCCGAAAGAACGCGTAAGACGGTAGCCGGGAGTACTCAGGCGAGGGATACAGCTATAGAAGTTGGAGGAGGAGAAAAGGCGGAAGATGCGACGAACTTAGAATAAGAAAACAGGTCGAAGCCACGCGACCAGGCCGCGCCTGCGCGTCCGACTTCCCTTTCTTCGATACGGCTTTCCCGCCAAAAAGTCGCGACTCTATGACGCCACTTTGCACTCTCATTACAACGTCATCCAATGAGCTAAGTGATAGATTATTGTATCATTGTATCGTTGATAATTCTAGAGGAGGTTAATCTTAACCCAAGATTTAGCTTTTTTTTTAACGTATTACATGACGTAAGTCTTTAATAAATCTTTATTAAAAAATTACTATGATACTAGAATCACGAAGACAATTCGGTTGGATAATTCATCCATCTCAAGGACCATTATAATGGCATGCCATATATTGAGTTATGTGTAAGAGATATTTTTAGCCCGGTCACGCGCATTAAATTCAACAACATGGTACTAATCAAAAAAATCGCGAAAAAAACCCATCTTCTTCCGCGCCTGATGCATGCATTCGCGATCAATTTTTACGTATTGTCCGTTCACGGGGACATAATTATTATCGAAATACGCTTTGTAACTCGTGCATACATACGCGAGCATTCGCCTAATTTCCGTCAAGTTAACCGATAAAATTCGCGTGGATATTTTGCGAGAGAAATGTTGCTCACCGTGAATGCTGGTCTGCCTTGAATACGGATTACTTCGCTTTTTGTTAGTCGACGGCTCGCTCTTCTCGTTGTTCCGTCTCTGATAATTATTTTCCTTGTCCTCCGAACAGGGATCCACTCCCCATCTTTTGGCGAACTTGCTCCTCTCCGCGTCTAACGCTTCCTGGAACATCTCCATGGTTTCCCGCGGGTCCGGCTTACCGAAGAGGCAGCGTGGTACTCGCGAGGCCATGGTCGTGTTGGGTAACACCGTATAATAGATTTCGCAACAGATCGAAGCTGCCAGCATCTCGGGTCCCTCTTGTGTATTCCACCGGATACGTAGTCGAGCTGAGCGGATTCTCAACAATTTGCGTCTTTCGATTCGAGATACTTCCGCAACACTTTGCAACAGATACGATATTATGGAACGTCGATTGTCCTCGTTTCTTCCGTTCAACGTCTTGTGGAAGAACAGAGGAATGTTGGATGACGTAAATTGCGTCGCGCCGTTCAACTTTTCTGTGAAGTTTCCTCCACTCTTCTTGCGCGAAGTCGGCCAAAAACCAACTGGCCAACCTTGATCTTCACCGTTCGACGGTCAGACTTGTTCTGGTAGGATCGTTCGGGATGATGGAGTCAGTCGGCTCAGCGCCGTTTGAGCGAAGCCACGAGGTCCGGTAGTCCCCACTACCGGGTGTTGAAATTCAAATCTGATTGGTGCGCCGCGCTGGTTGCGCAGTAAAAATGGCGCGAATCTTTTTTAGCGACGTCCTCGTTGCGCTCGCGATGACATCCGTACACTCGTTCTCTCTCCGCTACGTGCGCTCTCCACGTGTACCCTCACCATCGTTCTCAAGCTCGAAACCGTCCAACGGATTATGCTAAGCGATCTCTCGGCCTTGTGGTAGGAAAGAGCGCGCGCGCCATGAAGCGTACCTTTTATCTTTTTTTCTAAGTAGCGCGATGTATAGAACGATCACGATCGCGGTTCGAGCATGCTGCGATGTGATTCAAGATTCTCTCTCTCTCTCTCTCGCTCTCTCAGATCTTCCTTTCTCTCATCTAATTTCTTTCCGGTTACGCTATTGCGTCTGATGAATCTTTCGAAAAAAATTTTTCTTGCGAATTGTTTCATCCTCAGTTTCGCTTCAATTTACTTCTTCAAATCTCTTACATAGATTAAATAATTTATATATATATATTACGTACATTTTTAATCGTCTGTTTACGTACATATTGAAATTTGTTATTTTATTTAAGGATGTTTCGTATCTATTTTCAAAATATTGAGAATTTCATGAAAATTGTACAGAACGTCTTTACATATGTTTAGAATCTTCAGTGCAATTTTTAAATCGATTCACTAAGGCGTTCACAAGTTATAAGGATTTTAATTTGCACCGAATTAACATGTATTCTTATGGGAAACGTATAACCACGTCGATTCAAATGACAAAAACACATGGAAATAATATTTAGAATTTGTTTAAAATTTGCAAAAGTGTAGTTTAAATACAGAGGAAATATTTGGTCAAATAATATTATACAAGTACTAACTGGTTAAAAAGATATTAAATGTAATTCAATGAAATTAGCCATGTATCTGACACAAGGTGAAATTCTCTGCCAAAAGTTAATCATTTTGATTAACAAAATTCGGAATATTTCAGTAAAAACGCAATAAATATTAAAAAATACATTTCTGCAATGTTAGCTAAAATCAAATTATAATATTCCACGAAATTTCTCATACTCAAAATACATCAAAAGAGGATATATTCGTCAATATTGATTTTTAGCTACTTTTTGCTAGGATTGTACATACAAAGCATCCTTAATGTTTTTTTTATCAGATTGAAATTTGTTATTTTATTTAATGTTTTTTTTTATCAGATTGAAATTTGTTATTTTATTTAATGTTTTTTTAATCAGATTTTATTTAATTTTTTTTAAATATCAGACATTAGACACAACTTGAGATTATATGTGAAGCTAATGTAAAAAGTTTATCATCTTTCTACTAAGATTTAATGAAATTTTTTTAAATTGAATTATATTTTTTAAAAAGCTTTGTACAAGAGGAATAGAAGTGATTTAGAGATCGCGTAAGCGTGCGCACCAATGAGACTGTAGGACAATTCACCCAATTGTTGTTGGCACGATTCTGCCTCGAGCATTTTTGCGGGAAGTCGGGTGTTCTGTAGCAAGAAGAAAAAACGGTCGTCCGAGCAGGTGGAGCAGCCGGAGAACGAGAGGGAGAGAGCAGAGTGGAAGCAAGTCCCAGCCAGAAAATCGCTCTTCGAGACGCCGCAATCGTTTTCTCGAGCACATAGAACTTTCGGATAAAACGTGACTTACGAACAAGCCAGTGTAACGATCACAATCGTGCGGTTTTCATATTACTAGACTCGCATATCAAGAAGGCATTATACGTCTGATTTTAGTATCTTTTTATAAAATCAAGATTTCCTTGCTTTTTATTAAATTTTTTTTTGTTGAATCGCCTTTGAATTTAATATCTTAGTCATAATTTTTATATTTTTTATTGCGTTTTTTTATATCTTCTTCGCCAACACCAGATATTATGTAACAGGTCAAGGTGATTCAACGTAATAGAACTGCCCATTCTATACAGAACATTCAAAATGTAACAATCAGAAAGACCAAGGCAAGGTCTCACCTTTGACTTTCACACGTAAATTTTATCTCCTCGAAATCTCTTTTCATAAAAAATCGATGAGATTACGATTTTATTCAATTTCTTGAAAAAAACAAAACCGGTCGGTGTCATAAATGCAATTGGTCAACCATGAATTTGCATTTCCTCTCGACGAGATTTGTTTCTCTTGCACTTTTCAAAGATACTGAAAAAATTTTCAAAAGAGATTATCGCTGAAATTATTTTATACTCGAGATAAAATTTTTTTTTATTTCGAAAATGCGTAGAATAAACGTACAAATATAGTACGAAATTTTGCATAATTGATGTACGTTCTTGTATGCAAGTCCGAGTGGGCGAGGGAAGGGCGATATGCAGATGAATCCTCGAGGGGTAGGAGGGACATAAACGCGCCACTGTGCGCACGTACATAAAATAAAGCGTGACGCACGCTGCCGCGAGATTCGAAGACGTGCAATTATAAGCATACCGGATGAATTGTAACGCAACTTGGTCGAGTCACGCTTCGCTATATCACGGCTGGCCGCGTGATGGGGGTAAATTCGACCGTTACAGAAATGCATCGCAGCGCAATGCGTCGGGCGTGGACGCGTGTGCGTGCGTACGCGCATCGCGCGTCCTCTCTCGTACGGCCAGCACGAACAGGTGAACCCCATGAACACCATGACCGACTATAGCCAGCGCCCGTAACAATCATTAGGCCTGTGATTGCTTCTTGAGATTTTTTCAGCGTAATATCCACGCTGGTTCGGTTATTATTGCTGATTATTGCGCGGTTTGCCCCGTAATTGCTTCTCGACATGATATCGAATGCAACTCGCGAGATTGCCGGCGATTATCAGGTTCCATACATGGAACATACTTTGTTAGAAATGCACGCGTGATTCCGTAGAGATTTAGAAAATTAAGCAATTTGTTTTTTAAATCTTTACGCGGATGTTAATATAAATCTCGACGTTATTCCGCAGCCTGTAAATCCCCCCTGTAAATTTCCTTCGCTCTTGTTCCGACACAACCGTTGGATCTCCGAGGAAATGCCGACTTCCTTCTTGTTTAAACACGGGAACATCGATATCCGTGGGGGATTTTGAGTTTCGAGTACCCGCGCTCCCCCATCGGTCTCCCACTTCCGGTCCTGGTCAAGCAGACCGGAACACACGGGGTCCCCGAGTACACCGTGACGTCAGAACATCGTCGAAAATTAGGGAGGAACTTATCTGCAGGGGTTCGACGCCAGGATGTAGTTAATGCCGCGACTTTAACTCGTACTAAAGACGATTACTGACCTGATCATTTTTCACGGTTATGAGCAGTCTAATGAAGGACATGCTCACGAGATACGCGAACCGATTTTTGGAAATGTCATTCTATATTTTACCATTGTAACGTTGATCTCTTAATTTATTTTTCCTTGATACTTTTATGCGATAAATTGATATAAAATATGAAAAATATGAAAAAAGAGAGAGTTAATTATGCTGATATTTTTTTTCAAATTAATTTTATAAATAGCACTTATATTCCCCAAAATTTATAATTACCAATATTTATAAATTGAGAAATATAATTTTTATTTTTAGAATGTATCAGTGTTTGTTTCTGTATTGGACGTATTTTTTAAACTAATATTTGCATGTTTCTGTTTGCAGGCACGACCGCCATGAAAGAAGGCGTCTAGTGAAAAGATGATCAGACAGCTGATACCAAGGAGGAAGAAAGAAAGCGAGAAATATCGAATGGAACGAGTCAAAAAATCGCGAAGAATAAGGTAAGAAAATTTGAAACTCTACCCTTTGGCTATCGACGCGAGCACCTGGGCAGCATATGTGCCAAATATAAAAGAACGAACGCGTCTCTGCGGGCCGATCACTCTCTCTCCCTCTCTTTCTGTTTCCTCGCAAATTTTGTGTCTGCTGGAAGGTCCTGAAAATTTTGCGGAATCATCGATGCGTCCCGCGCGGTTTTTTTGCCAGCATCGAAATTACTGGAAGCATACCGCGTGTCGGTCGATGATCAGCTGTTAGCTGTGATTGTTGCTAACTGCATATTCTCTTGAAATAATGTCAGATAAAGCGTACATTTGTAGTAAAATCTTGCGTTTAAATTCTTATTAGTGTCAGGACTGACATTTTGTGACAGGATGTCCAATTTGGCTTTTTTTAATAATATAATAATATTAAGTTTCTTAAACATATTTATCAGAGAGGGAAAATCTGTTATGATAATTAGAATTATTAAACAAATAATTTAATTAAATTATTTTATTTAATTAAATTATTTGTTTAATAATTCTAATTATCATATTATTAAGTTCAACAAAAAAATTAACATTATTAAATATTATTTAATATTAAACTTAATAGTATAATTTTTTATTAAACTCAACAATATTAAATTATTTATTTAATAATTTTAATTATAATTATAATTATAGATTTTCACTTTAATAAATATGGAGTATATTTTCAAAATTAAAAGACAATTATTATGAAGGAAGGAATTTCTGTGATATTTGGATTTAGCATTATTCTTTTATTAATTAGATTTTTTTATTAATCTCATATCTTGTGACAAGACATTAGACGTTGTACTGACGTGCACCTAGACTCTAGGAAGAAAAATCGTGCAGGAAGGAGCAAGACGAGGGGTAGAAAGTGGACAATAGGGTTCGTGTTTGCAACCACCTGTACTCGCAGGTAGACGAAAGCATGTGTGAGGAAACAAGGCCGTCTTTTCCACGCGCACGTTTATATTAAACGGCGAAAATAAACAGAAGCTGACGCGTCGGTTTCTCGTGGCTGCTTTTGCGTAGAAATTTGTTATATTCAGCTAGTGTTTCATCATCTGCTACCATAAAATGCCCGGTGCGCGCGTTAGAGACGCGATTATCTCTTGATTTCTCTCATAAAATGTTTTAACGAATATA